TCACGAGGGTCTTGAAGGTGGACCAGCTGGCGATGGCGGTTTCGCGGTTGGTGAACCATAGCTTGGCGACGTCAGTTAAGTAAAAGATGACATAGGCAAGCTTGGAGTCGTTGTCCCATTTGTTGCTGGCACTCACGCGTTCGTACAAAGAGAGCCAGTCTTCGACGTCTTGCTCACCACTGCCGCTGAAGATTGGTGGGTCCCGCTGACGGGTAGCACCAGGGCAGGTCGACGGGGCAGCCGATGGTGCTGGCTGTGCTGGGATGGGCTGGTTGGCGACTGCGTCAGTCATGTTGTACGGTAGTCTTTCGGCCAACTTGCGAGAGCGGAGCTCCAGGTCTGCTTGGGGATCTCAGCAGCCTCCACCAAATGCGATGATGTTTATTAGAGCAGAGGAGCCGCAACGAGGTCGCGACGGAAAATGGGCGAACAGCAAGTCTGGCAAAGGCGGCACAGGTTCTCGCGCAATCAGAGCACGGGCTTCTCGTTGTTTTCCGAAGGCGCATACGCGTTGGTGCGTATGCTCCACTACAATATATATATATATATATATATATATATATATATATATAGAGAGAGAGAGAGAGAGAGAGAGAGAGAGGAATGAGAGAGCGAGGTGCAGGGACAGTGAGCAACGGAAGTAAAACAGGAGATATGAAAGATGGAAACGGTCGCAGGAGCCCGAGGATGGGCCACCACTCGGCGAGAGCTCTTGTCGGCGTCAGGAAATGGCGTAACGCGAGCCCAGTTGGCCAGAGCTACGCTGTAGTCGTCGTCGGGGATCGGCGTCAGGAGATGGCGTAGGACCAGCCCAGTCGGCCAGAGCTGCACTGCCGTCGGAGGTCGCCAGGGCACAACCGGTCGGCACGAAATCCAGTGACATAAAAAAGAATATTCTAATGGCCTGTCAGGCCAGCGTTGCAGGCACGTGCCCGGGAGGTGGGTTCCCACAGCGCGGCGACGCCGGACGTCGAACGTTTCGGGAACCGGAGGGAGCGAAGTTGAGCGGCGACGAGAGGCGGTAGTTATTCGAGGAAGATCCAAGGAGGGAGGACTCCGTGCCTGCCACCTTCAACGGCAACCAACCGGCAGTCGAGGAGAGAGACATTCCTGTGTTGTATTGTGAGAGTGTTTGAATGGGGAGTTAGGGTAGAAAACGAGGGCTGCAGAGACGAGGAAGAGAAGAGAAACGTGTGAACGTCTCGAGCGATCGTATGCTCAAGGTGCCAGCAGATGAGAAATCTTGTCTTCGGCTTCTTTGGCGGCAGGAGCAAATGCCGTGCAATTAGCGAGGCGAGTAGAAGAGCGAAAACGGAACTTGACTGACTGACTGACTGACTGACTGACTGACTGACTGACTGACTGACTGACTGACTGACTGACTGACTGACTGACTGACTGACTGACTGACTGACTGACTGACTGAGTGTGACTGACTGTGACTGACTGTGACTGACTGTGACTGACTTTGACTGACTGTGACTGACTGTGACTGACTGACTGACTGACTGCTGGCCGACTGGCCGACTTACCGACTGGCCGACTGGCCGACTTACCGACCGACCGACCAACCGACCGACCGACCGACCGACAGACTGACTGACTGACTCACTGGCAGGCAGGCAGGCAGGCAGGCAGGCAGGCAGGCAGGCAGGCAGGCAGGCAGGCTCTCCATCATTCACTCCATCATTATTCTCCATCATTCACTCCATCATTATTCTCCATCATTCACTCCATCATCACTCTCGATCATTCGCTCCGTGAATATGCTGCCATTTTTTGTTTCACAAATGCAAAATGGTAACTGTTTCAGCAAATTGGTGTTTCATTCTTCACTGGCATTGCTCAAGACTCTTTCAAAGTGCCTTAGTGAAACCTAATTATCACACGCCCCCATGGTTTATCGCGCAAGTTGGCGCTCGGGTGTGGACGCAAAGGTTGCCGCAGTGAGGCAGCGTCGTGTCTGCTGCGTTTAAATATAGGTAAAATGGCCGAAGCCCATGCAATTCTGTTTATTTGCACGTGAAATAACCCAGATTGGCCAAAACTTTCGGAGCATTCTACTGTGCCGTTCCCCATAAGCAGTTTGTATTAAAAAGGCAAAAAGAAAAGACAGCGCTCTTAACAGAAAAGCCGAAAGATACCCAAGAATACCTTCATGAAGTGCTGATCGCCCGCCGAAGTGCAAAAAAGAACTCTATGTTATGCACACACGGGGCTTAAAAAAGGATCTGTAGTGATGATGCGTTCTACGTGCTTCACTTAAGCAGCCTACATGAAAGACAACGTAAAAAGTTTGAAGGAATAACCCGGATGACGCTCTGCGTCGGGCACACGACAAATCATGTAAATTTAAAAACCACAACTAAGTAGAAGTTAAGAATTATAGAACTTCTGCAATGAAAACTTTAACAATCGCTTTTGTGCATTCAACGTAATTCCTAAATTTACTGTCCACGCAATACCTGGTTCTCGATTATAATAAAATATATGAAAGCACCTTCAAAATGCCGTTATTGTTCAAAGCACTGGAGCATGTTTCATCTATTTAAAATCGTAGTTTTTCCACCGCTATAATTCAAACGTCATGGACTTAATGGGCATAAATGTTTAATTGTAGTGGGGGTTCACGGGGACCCAGGAGGCCAGGTAGGAGCCGATTTTCCTCAAAGTAAAGCTTTTCTGACTTGACTAGAATGCGGGTACTTCTTTCCCGAAGAGATTTTTTTCACTCGTCACAATATTACCGTAATCGCATATATAAAAGCCACGTGTATAGAAGTAAGAACGCTTACCCATTTATACACCCGTCCATTGGTATTTAAGGGCATTTTGAAGGTCTTTATCCCATTGCAAAGCGAATTTCATTCAAACACTCCGGCCAACTCTTTAACAGTATACCAGCCGTACTTGCACGAGGAACTCCTAAATTGAGGTCTGATTCATAATTTGGAATTTCTTTTAGAGACTGAAAACAGGTTTACGTGCTGCTTAACCCACATTCAGAAGAGTGCTGTCATAATTTTGAGGCACCCAAAAGGGATAGCTTTCGTTTCCACGGTGTGCAGTGTCATTGCTGTCCATCCACCAGGGCCAGACAATCCGTACAAAATATTGTGATTTTATTTTGAAATGAATCACCGAGTATCTGCAAACTAGCCACACCGATTAAGGACACTATCACGACTGGTCAACACAGTTCACTGCGTTTGCGAAACTTACGTCCTGCGTGCTGCTTCAGTCACACAAATGTCTTTTAAAAGTCCTCGGACTACAATTCTTTCGTCGTTGTTTGCGGGAACAACGTGCGATTGACAGCAAAATGGCGAAAATTTGCAGCGTGGTGTGCGTTAAATAAAAGTGGACTGCGGGTGTCTGCGTCCAATCGAAGTCTTCTGTCTCTCACTGCCCATTAGCAGCGATTGGCATGTTCTAGCAGGAAACACCGGTCCATCACTGCGTGCTTTGCGCCTCCCTAGGTTTCTCTTCTGCGCAACGCCGAGGTGAGCGCCAGCGTCAGTGCCACCACCAGTGTAAGCATGAACACCAGCTGCTCCGTATCTACACATGGTTACTTTTAATTGGTCGGCTACTGACCCGCAGGTCGCGGGATGAAATCCCGCCGGCGGCCGCTGCATTTTCGATGGAGGCGAAAATGCAGTCGGCCCGTGTGCTAAGATTTGTGAGCAGGTTGAAGAACCCCAGGTGGAGGAAATCACCGGAGCCCTCCACTACGGCGTCTCTCATATTCCTATGGTGGTTTTGGGACGTTAAAACCCACATATCGATCAATAAATCGATCAATCAATCCCTTTGGCAGGGGATGGTGTAGTTTTTTAGGATTATCGACACCTGTGTTTTTTTTAACTTAAAACAGCAACCCGAAAATATTTAAATTTGCGTCAGCACTCCTTTAAAGCTTAAGTGTTATTCAGTCGCGAAGCGTCGGTCAAATATGCTTGGAAAAGAAACTAGGGTTTCACTTTGTGCTAGTGCCAATAATAAAAACAGCGGTATAAAACCGTTTATGACGCGAAGGTGTTCTTTGCATGAAAGCATGATCGTTGTTTTCGACGTGATCGGTGTGAACAGTACACTATAAAAATTATGAACAAATGTTTATTTGCAGAATTGACATCTCGAGAAGCATTTCACAATGACACATTTAGAAGCGAAATGCTTCGAGTGCCACACTTTTTGTGTATAACCCACCAAAATTTAAAAGTGAAATGTGTTTTTCATGTTCCACAAAACGAAATGCTGTACAGGAGGGGCAGGCTTGATGAGAGCACAAAATACCTGGGCTTGTGCGATGTTCATACAAATAAATAGACTGTTCTAAGCCCGAGAAGTGCATTAGGCCTGACGTAAATATTCAAAGGCGAGTAGTAGTACTCCAATCGGGAAGACAACGTCGGAGTGCTTTGACTAAACAAGACTGCAAGACAACACCAACCCCAAGCGGAGCTTCGTGTAGCGGGACGTGATTTATTTATTTATTTATTTATTTATTTATTTATTTATTTATTTATGAATTTATTTATTTTACCTGAGGGACCCGATGTCAGCGAAGAAATGAACACCAAAACGAAAAAGGTCCTTGGATCTAGAGCTGAATTAGAATAATATCGTCATGAATGCCAACAAATATTTATGTAATAAAATGTGTGTGACATGCTTCACTCGGGATCCGCAACTACAATCTGAACATCACTTAGCTGACGTCACACGCACACATGAAACGGAAAGGAGGTTAGGCAGTTCAAAGTCTATGCGCTCAAAGACCTAGGTTTTGTGTTGATGTGGTGCTGCAATATATAATATTCTATTTCTAGACATTCGAAAGAAGGAGGTGAGAAACGCCCGCAAATTTAACTGGAGCCCTCGGCACTAGAGTGTCAGCCCGCTTGTTATTGTTGATGACAGATCTTTATTTGCAACTTGACTCCGTCTTTGGATGCACGAGCGCATCCAGGAAGGAACAAGATGGTGCTGTATATTTGGTGTCGATGTGTCCATAAACGTGTATCATGCTCACAATCGCATTCCGCTTCATACCGAGACATTGCAACGACTTGTCCTGTTCTCAGATCGTATGGCTGGACTTCGAAAATGGGCGGTAGACACGCGGAGTCTCCTATCGTCCCATGAAACGTAACTATCACACAAAATTTGGCGCCAAGCGAAACGAGAATAGACCCATACTGTGAAGTACGCGTCCCTTGTGTGCAACACTGTGATATCCGCGAAACAGTACGCGTTCAGTTTCTCGTCAATGCGAAAATTTGTGAGCGTCAGAAAATAATCCACGGTACCGATCACTTTCCTCCACGTAGCTGTCGTTGACAATGATCCTGTTAACTCTAAGCTACATTCAACACCCGGATATATATGAGTAACGGCATGCTGAGGATAATCTTGCGAAGATGTTTTCTGCAGGGCTCTCAGAACATCCTGCGGCAGGTCCACAAGTGCTTTCGCCTTAGGATGCTTTGACCTTTCCTTCGAACGTGAACAGGACGTAGACGGTGTATTTGCTTCCTCATTTGGATCCTGCCGAGAATTTCCCTCTTGCGATGAGGTCGAAGTACTCATTTCTCCGATTTGAGCCATTGCTGACGTTGCAGGTGCCGCGACATCCTGAGGGATCACGGCCGTCTTGAAAGCCTGGTTCCTGATCTGTTCAACGAGCTCATTCATTTGACTCTGAAGGCTAAGCAGGAGCTGCTCGCAGTTGGCATCCCTCAACATGCTCTTGAGTTCTTCAAGCGCCGCCGTCACGTCTCGGAGTGTCAATGTTCTACATTCTGGCGACGTGTTCTCTGTGACTGTTGCTGAAACGGCGGCCCTGCATCCGGATACGTAGTGCGTTTGCAGTTCTCTGTGCAAGACATCCTCCCCGCACCGCAAGCACTCCACGGTGTGGAATGTGCATTCGTTCTCGTAGTGTCGCAGCATTAACTCCAAGGATTCCTCGAACTCGCATCCATAGGCTTCGTTCCAGCAATGAACCTTCGTAGCAAGACAAAGAAAAAAAAACGAACGAAATGTGCTTAACTCATTCACGCAATTCGTTTGCAGGCGACTGTGAGCAACACAATTCTAGTGAGAATTTCGTACATTGCGTCATCTAGATCAAATGCTGACGTTTCATCTATCGTTTCCCTTTCTCTCCATTTCTGAGGAAAAAATACTATCTATCTATCTATCTATCTATCTATCTATCTATCTATCTATCTATCTATCTATCTATCTATCTATCTATCTATCTATCTATCTATCTATCTATCTATTCATCAAATGTATCGCACACTCGTTGTGAAATTCATGTGTTTTTTCCCGCCTGATGCAATTGTACGCTTCTTCCATGGCGGTGGTAATGATAGCTAACACACTAAGTAACATTCTTATGTATATAGCTCTTTCCAAAAAAATTTCCAACATGACCTTTTGACGCCGAAATCCAGCGTTTTATGGTCACTCGGTTCAAAGTTCTTTTTTAAATTATTTTTATCTTTGCGTCTATCGGAATCACCACTAACAGGTTGAATTTTCATTCGTAATCAACAACACTGATTCCGGAATATATGAGAACTGAGCTACTAAAATTCAGGTTCTTTTCGATGTTGTAGAAACCAACTCTCACCACTCGGCGCCCGAGACGCACCACCCGAAGTGGTATGATAAAGTGGGAGACGAAACGTGCTGCCGCTATTCCAGTAGAGGCGATTGACTTGCTGGTCGCTTGAATATGAAGCAAATACGCTGAACAACTTCTAGTAGGCTGAGAGAAAGTTGTGTGTACAGACTGTACATACTTTACAAAGTTACGGACATCAAGGTTACAAAAAAGAGAAGAAAAAAAACACTTCGGAAATGAACCGTCTTCTGTAGGTCGACCCTATGTGATTCGGCGGAGCCGATGGTGCCGAACACCGCAACCTCAGTTCAGAACACTTGCCAGAACATCGGGACATCTTTATATTCCCTCGGTGCTCCACCCTTACCCAGCTCTCGATGAATCATCGCCTGTTTTTGCTTTCATAGCACAGTACACTTGGTCGATCAAAACTTCGTCACAAGTACGCGACCTTCTTGCATGTGAGGGCTCATGCCCTCTCCACAAATAACACAACAACCGAAATGTAAATACAACAAAATGAAAAAAAGTCGCAGAGACGTGGGCAAGCTCCGCGGTGCACAATTATCTAGACAGATCTACACGTACTGGGGTTTGTGGCCATAGACCGCTTTCCCGCAACATGATAACTTGTTGACGACGGGGCATTAATCGCGCTGCAACAGGAACCGCCAACTGACCGCACGGGGTTATACGTAAGAGCTCATTTGCCAGGATAAACCACGGAAGCAGTCGAAGACATGCCGATTCAACAATAGGCACCCAAGACGCCAACCTGTCGCGCGCCCGCCCGCTTCTGAGAGCTATCTCACCGGACAGGAACGAAAGGTTCATCGCAATTACTGCGGTTTCGCAATGCCCGCCACCGATTTTGCAGGCGCGCAAACAGTACGCGGCCGTGCCACAAGCCGAACCGATGTGACGAGTCACCGCGATGCGCTGGGTCTCGGAAGAGGCCCTTTGATGCGTCGGCTGCCAGTACCGCGAGTAATTTAGGGCGTCGTCACAATCACGTTTCTAATCCCTGTTGCCCACGTAGGGGTCGGTTTATTTTTCCTGGGTTAATAGCAACTCGAAACGCTCGGCCGTGTCCTGCGCTGCAGAACTACGTGGGGTACCATGCTGGCGCTGTACTGTCTTTGTTCACAGCAAATCCGGTCGGATACCCTTCGACTGAGTGCAACTTAGGCAATACTGCCTGCCAACGGCTGACATACCTTCCTGAGTTTACGCCCCACCGCGGTGGTCTAGTGGCTAAGGTACTCGGCTGCTGACCCGCAGGTCGCGGGTTCGATTCCCGGCTGCGGCGGCTGCATTTCCGATGGAGGCGGAAATGTTGTAGGCTCGTGTACTCAGATTTGGGTGCACGTTAAAGAACCCCAGGTGGTCAAAATTTCCGGAGCCCTCCACTACGGCGTCTCTCATAATCAAATGGTGGTTTTGGGACGTTAAACCTCACAAGTCAAAGTCCTAAGTTTACAATGCAAAGTAAATGAAGGTAAGCTAACTGCCGCGCAAACAATTCTAACCGCGGTCCTACAGAGCTTTTTAACGCTATCCCGTTAAATATATCTGCGGTTGATGAAGAAACGGTTCGCCTTTCGTACATAGGTATCCGAATACTTGATCGCCTCCTTTAGGGTGAAAGAGGGTTATATAGCTGTTACCCGTAACGTGGTTACCGAGCAACACATAATGAAAATAACTCTTTGACGTGTTAATTCGACAGTGCGTGTCTGTTAGTGCTGCAAGATCTTTAAACCCATAAATTGAGCTGTCCTTACCAATATATGTTGAATATCGTGCATGCTGCCTTTTTACAACTTTGTTTAGAGCTAGCAGATAGCCCATTTATTCTCAGTGTGCATAGAAAGTATATTTAGATTTTACCGATTTCTTACAACCTTCGCTCTCGCCAACGATGCCAGGTTTTTTTTTTTTTTGCTGTTCTGGGGAAACTGCAGTTCTCATTACAAACGTGACCTCATCTCTTAAGGATTTATTTCGTGGTTAACAAGTATACGAGTTTGCCTGCACGAAAAGACCGTTCATGCATTGCTAAGCCTGATGATACGCAGTATTGCAAATGAAGACATTGAAGGGTTTTCTCAAATGACGATCGTAACCAGTTTCTCACCTTCAAGGCATTCACTGTTCTGGTTGGCAAATGACAACTACCACATTCATCTTGCTCAAACGGTCCTTGATCCAAGGGATCTATCTATCTATCTATCTATCTATCTATCTATCTATCTATCTATCTATCTATCTATCTATCTATCTATCTATCTATCTATCTATCTATCTATCTATCTATCTATCTATCTATCTATCTATCTGTCTGTCTGTCTGTCTGTCTGTCTGTCTGTCTGTCTGTCTGTCTGTCTGTCTGTCTGTCTGTCTGTCTGTCTGTCTGTCTGTCTGTCTGTCTGTCTGTCTGTCTGTCTGTCTGTCTGTCTGTCTGTCTGTCTGTCTGTCTGTCTGTCTGTCTGTCTGTCTGTCTGTGCCGAGAGATACAGAATGATAGATAGCCCTTTTATTATCACTATGCGTTGAAGCAATCTGGCGGTTCTAGCCGTTTTTGCAACTTTCAATTGCTGCCAACAATGCCCAGGTTTATTCTCGTGTTCTGGGGCTGGTGTAGCTCCCGTGAAGCGTATAAATTGATTTGTTAAAAGTTTGCCTCATGGTTAATAAGTATAAGTGTTTGCCATCACCAAAAAGTCTGTCCTACATTGCTATGGCCGCAAATACAAATTAGTGCAAATGAAGAAATTGAACTCACCGAATAACGAGCGCAAGCGATTTCTCACCTTAAATGCGATCGCCTTTCTGGTCGGCAAGTCATAGCTGACGCATTCATCTTCCTCGAACTGTTCTTGATCCATCGGACACCGCCCACCACATGCTTCAGAACTGGCTGCGTGGCACGATTGGCATAGAACGTGGGAGCATGGCAAAAGCACAGTCCGCGTCGGAATCATGCGGCACAGAGCGCACACGCGTGAACTTGGCACTTCGTCGACAAACCGAGTCTGTCGCCAGTTGACGCCTGCGACGGCGTGGTCGCGAAAACGGTGCACTTCGCTGCTGGTCCGGCATGGTGCTTTGAATTCAGACGTGACTGCTTCGTTTGCACACAAGAGCGGAAATGGCGTTTCTTATCACCGGGCCTACCCCTACTCGATTGTCTCATGCACTTCGGTAGTCGCGTAGCAACAAGGAGAGATAAAACGCCAGGCCTGCGCGGAAGGCGCAGCACAGTCAAAGCGAGAGCTACAGGAGCGGCCTTTCAGAGGGTTTTCAAAAGAATGTGTCTATTTCCCCGGCAAGCCGAATAATTGATCAAAAAAACTTTCTCCCGGCAGTCACCTCCCATTGGCTCTTATAAGTCACGTGACTAACTGCCGGGATAATTTTTTTGTATAATTCTTCCGGCAACCGGTAAAACTTAGCCTAACCTATTGAACATAACCCAATTTAACCTAACCCAACGCACGCTGGGCCACGTCTGTTCCAGTCTGTCTCGCAGCCTAACCTAACCTAATCTAACGCACGCAAGTCTACGTATACCCAGTCTGTCCCGCAGCAGCCAGTTTTTTCTCTTCTCCCCACGGCAGTTAGTCACGTGGCATATGAGAGCCCATGGGAGGCGACCGCCGGGAGAAATTTCTTTGAACAATTATCCCGGTTGCCGGCAGAATACACTCTGCGTTTTCAAAACACTCGTTGAGTAACTACTGCTAGCACACTTGCTTGGCACCCACTAGGACTATATTGATAACCTTTTGGGTAGTAGGCCGGCATTCGCTATGCTATTTTTGATCATTCTTCTTAGAAACATGGTATCCGCTAACCGCTTGCAAAAAATTTCGTGCCAATGGTTCGTGCAGTGGCTGACGACGATGAGAAATTGCGGCTGAAGTGGGTATGCGCCATAGTTATGGCCCACACGAACAAGCTTTTGTAATGACTTGGACTTTTGGACGGCCCACTCGTTGCGCTAGTCACATTGTGCGACGACTGGTTGTTCTCTCGCTGTTTTTAAACGCTTTAATGTCGTATTAACGCGATTGCTTTCCCGACATCAAGCCTGCCTGAGGAAAAGTGGCCAACAAGTCACAAGCACACCACCCAATGTGAAAACCTTTTTTTTCTGCGCATTCTCCGAATCTCTAGACCCTCATAAACCGCTGTCATATATCTGGAGAACAGTTCGTGGCCTTCGCTCTTCTCCACAACAACGGCACCCTTTTAAAGCTTTGGCACTCCATCATGGAAAAACAGAACTCGAGGTGGCTGAAGAATTTTGCATGAGAGTTGCCGGGAATATTATGAACGAGAGAATCGACGCCGTGATCGTTCCTGAGACGCGATTACCAGAAATGGACATTCCGTTCACCATGGAAGAACTGGAAGGTGCGTTAGTCGCTTCTAAGCGCATGTCATCGCCAGGTCCTGATGGTATTACTTATAGTGCGTTGGGGCACTTTGGACAAAAAGCCAGAAAAGAACTTTTAACATGCTTCAACAACTCCTGGCTCAGCGGCAGTGTTCCCCGAGAATGGAAAATAAGTCGATTATTACCACTTTTGAAATCGGGAAAATCACCATTGGACTTGACAGCGTGTCGCCCTATTGCCCTCGCAAGCTGCCTCGGAAAAGTGATAGAAAGAATGGTTCTATTTCGTCTCGAGTGGTACTTGGAACGATACACCAAATACCCTTCTTGCATGGCAGGCTTTCGTCGGGGCCGCTCCTCCATTGACTGTGTCCTTGACTTATCGACATTTGTTCAACAAGAAAAAAGTCGCAAGCGCATATCAGTGGCACTCTTTCTTGATGTGAAGGGTGCATATGATAATGTAGCTCACGATGCCATCCTCACATCTCTCGCAGCAATGGGCATTGGTGGACGAATGTTTCAATGGATAAAAGATTATATAACTGGCAGGTGTTTCTTTGTACAAACATATGAGGGTACAACTGCCCAACATTACACCTACTGCGGAGTACCTCAGGGAGGTGTTTTAAGCCCCACATTGTTCAATGTGGCCCTCATTGGTCTGGTGAAGGTTCTGCCAAAGTCGGTGTGCCTATCCATATACGCCGATGATATTTGCCTCTGGAGTGCTGCAGTTACTCGCCCTCAGGTGCGTGCACGAATACAGCGGGCAGCAACCCTCACAACAGCCTACCTTCAGAAACAAGGCCTAAATATATCAACTGTGAAGTGAGCGTTGATGGCGTTTACACGCAAATCAATGACGCCATACCCTGTTTACATCAATGGGCAGAGGGTCAAATATGCACGGACGCATCGTTTCCTGGGCATAATAATCGACAGAAGTCTTTCGTGGAGCCCACATTGTGCGTATTTGAAGAAGAGACTGCTATCTATTGTGCATATCATGAAATTCTTGTGTGGTAAAGCATGGGGAACTTCTGTGGCCTCCATGCTACAGCTGTACAGGGCCCTATTTCGGGGTCTATTGCGCTACAGCTTGCCGGTACTGACTAACACTTGCAAATCGAATACTCATTCATTGGAGAGTTTGCAGGGTCAGGCACTGCGTATCTGCCTAGGACTGCCCCGATGCGCTTCTACTTTGACCACAATATGCTTGCCAAAGACCATCCGGTCAGGACATATATAGTTGTGGATTGCCTCAGAGCGCACATTCGACATGCTAGCCGTGTCCCCGACCACCACTTGGCCCTTCTACCTTCCGGAAGGCCACGTGCTACGTTTTCAGACGTCATAGCCAAGCACCTAAATAGCATTCCATCAGGATATACGCCAGCTGCGAGAACGGCATGTCCTTTGTGGTGCCTCGACCAGCCGCAAGTACGTCTAAAAATTCCGGGAATCAAAAAGAAAAGCAGTCACTCCAGAGTAGCATTGAAGCAAGCAACACTGCTATTATTACATGAGTTGTACTTAGACCGAACGCAGATATACACTGACGGGTCCGTCTCGTCCAGCAGCTCATCAGGTGCCGCTGTAATTCCGGCTGCAGAAATGACAATCAAGTTTAAGTTGTCGCATATGACTACATCTACGGCATCAGAGCTTGCTGCTATAAGGGCTGCTTTACAATATCTCGTTCAAGAACGTCCAGGAAAATGGGTCATATTATGTGATTCGAAGGCAGCGCTTCAGAGTTTGCAGTCTGCCATGCGTAGGAGGAGTCATGACCAACTGGTACAAGAAATAAGACATTGCCATCATGAAGCTCTAGCACGAGGGCATGATATTATATATCAATGGCTGCCTGGACATATCGGTATTACCGGAAATCAATTAGCCGATGATGCAGCCCGCTCAGCCCATGAAGAAACCCGTGTAGTCCCGATTTCTCTATTAAGGAATGATGCAGCAAGACAACTTTACCTGCTGGCTCGAGATCTCACACGCACGTTCTGGTCCTCTACCAGCTTTCAAAGGTGTCAATTTTATGAACTGGATCCTTCGCTCAAGCTAAAGCTACCATCACAACTTTCCCGCTCCGATGCGACACTGTTAAGCCGCCTTTGGTTGGGTGTTGCATTTACAAAGGTGTACTCCTTTCGCATTGGTATGGCAGACACTCCTACATGCGACTACTGCGGGGCTGAAGAGGCCATCGAACACGTCCTGTGCAGCTGCGCTTGCTACGACACACAGCGATGCCACCTCCGGATGGTTTTGAATCGACTTGACCCCGGACCAATTTGTGTGCAGAAGATACTAGCACCTTGGGCATCTGCCTCAGTTGCGCAGAAAGCAACTAAAGCACTGCTACTTTACCTTAAGTCAACAAACCTGAGCGACCGCCTGTAGACTGTGGGTGCTCCCCGAGTGTGCTCGGGATTGTGTGTACCTTCTCATCTTTCTGCAACCTCTTTTCTCCCCTTTATCCCTTCCCCAGTGCAGGGTAGCAAACCGGATGTGCGTCTGGTTAACCTCCCTGCCTTTCCTTGCATCTTTATCTCTTTCTTCTTTTTTAAACTTCATGCTGGAACCTTGCCAGTAAAAACGTGGCTTGAAGAGAGAGGCATGTATGTACTATGGGGAAGCAGCTGTTTGCTGTGTAACAAACCTGAGACCATTGAACATGTGTTTATTGATTGTAAGAACACTATTTTCTTTTGGGACACTTTACAAAGGACTTTAAAAAAAGATTTACCTCTTACTCCATATGGAATTCCTTTTTGCCTTGTGATAGTTCTGTGCAAAATATGCATTTTATATTTTTACTTGGTCTTCATTCGGTTTTGCGTAGTATGCTATGGTACAGACACTGTGATGTGAGAGTTCTATCCGTTAATGAGTGTTTCGTGGAAGCTGTTATAAAAGTGCGAGATGTGTATAAGACTATCGACTGTGTTGAGCATGTACTATCTTTGTTCGATGTGTTATCACGCATGAAACACATGTGATAGTGATTGTCAGATTAGCTTGACCAGATGTCAAGAAGGCAATAAAGGAATAAAAAAACCAGGGTAGCTCAGTAGTAGAATAACAGGGCTGGCACCCAGCGGACCCGGCTTCGAGCCCCACTGTGTCATTGGTGCTAATTTTTTTTTCTAATTCACGCGATGTGGTTACGGACGCAGGCGGTGGCGGACAACTGCGCGTGACCCGAATTGTGATCTCATAACAGCCTTCGCTGTAAAACGGTGGTGGTTATCGCGTATCTACCGCACTGTTCACTTCCCGCGTGTAGCTTTCCACCGCTTCGTCTTTAGGCTGGCACATGCCGATAAGGCTGATCATCGTCAAAGTTCAGCAACACGTGAAACCGCGTTTTTAGCTCAATATACACAGAAGTCTTTCACCCCAGTAAATCATGCGTATGATAGATTTTGCTCTCCGCCTTATTTTGAAGGAGCAGAACCCGATGTTCTCGCCACTAAATGCAACCTAGATCGTCTTCAAACGGGCTCCCCGGACACCACGCCCAGATCGTCGAAGGACACTTCAGTTTTTTTTTTTCATATTGAGGCCATAGATACTTAATCGAATGCGGAAATTCACCGTTAGTTTCGGCGTCCTTGGCATCAGGTCGAGTGATGCAAACAATCTCATTAGGTGATGACGTTACCTTATGACGTCATCGTGAAGTAACATGTCAACGAAATTTTCGGCATCCCGTGATCACGTCGTCACATTTCACCCTACCCTTACTTGGTTAAATGTTACGAGCTTACGCAGGCAAGTGCCAAACCACGTTCGGTTCAGAAACCTTTCGAAAGGGGCCTAGGGTGGATTGATACACTGATCAATACATTACATCGATGACTAAGCATTCGAAATGCATTAGGCAAATATATGCGAGACCGCGTGAGCAATGTGCCAGGGACTTCCAGAAACCTAACGTCGTCTTAAATACGTAGGCACCACAGAAACTTGGGTCAATCACATTGCGCATGATTTCGATTTTATTTATTTTTCGTTCATATTGTCACGACCCCGTTACAATATTTTTGAACAAAAAAACTGTTGGGCTCGTAGCCATAGGTTAGTCTTGGTCCATGATCAATATACATATGGCAGCAACAACATCATGTGCATATCTGATTCTCAGGTTTAAAAAAAATCTTAATGGGGAGGCAAAATACATAAATTCAACATCAGATAAAAGCAAAGAGTGAACTCTACATTAACTTAGAAACGAAAAAAGACGATTTAGCACAGTACGAGATACATCGGAAGTAAATTGAAGAAAATCGCATAATTTTTTAGAGGCACAATTTTTTTCACAGCAAGCGTGAAACGATCAGCGATTTTTACTTAATTCGGTACTGCGTTTCAAATTTCGGCGCCATGAAAGTGGAGCAGTCGTTGGCCGTACGTGATGATATGACTGATATGTGGGGTTTAGCGTCCCAAAACCACCATATGATTATGAGAGACGCCGTAGTGGAGGGCTCCGGATATTATTCGACCCCCTCGGGTTCTTTAACGTGCACCCCAATCTGCGAACACGGGCCTAACAAACCATTTCACGGCCTTCTCGGAAAATGCAGCCCCGCAGCTCGGGATAACGAACCCTGCGCCTGCGGGGCAGCAGCCGAGTACCTTGGCCACTAGACCACCACGGCGGGGCATTGGCCGTATGTGTTTTGAGTAAACTGGCAGGTGGGCGTTATTATCTGTTGCATTCTTTGTGTTCAGATTAAGTGTAATGAACAAACTTGGTGATAACGAGTGATTCCTCCGTAGAATATTATCAGAATGGCAACTTTCATTTCGCAAGTCACGGAGATTGGTAGTGTACCGAGTTTATCGGAAAGCAGGTCATTATTATTGTGTGGTTGTGTTTATATTGTTACGAGTAACTTGTTTAGTGAGCTATTTACAGCGCAGAGAACCCGACGAGCAAGATGGCGTCAGACCAGCATCCAACGGAAAAACCCACTTCGTCCTCCTCTTTCATGCAGCCGTGTTTAGCGGCTGTTTTGTATCATAACCCCGGCGGTAGACACCGTCCCGGTGCTAAATTACGCAGATGATGTCGAAGGGGGTAATAGGTTTTAGCCGACCAGTGAACGGTGTCGCTCGACTGACGATGACTTGTTGATCGGTTGAAACTCTCGTATGGCCTGTCCTGGGAATCGGAATGGTCCGAGTGCGACACATTTTTCGACAGTCCACGCGAGTTGTCCAAGGATAAGAACCCAGAAATACCTATGGTGAGATTGTAGAAATGGGCGGCCTTGAGCTGTATTTACGGGCTCGCGCGTGTCGCGCGGCAATGCTTCACCACATTGGCGCAGTAACGTTCTAAGTAGTTGGGTCCCTCCATGTGTAGATGAAGGCTAATATCCGGTTGTTGTGACTAGATTGTACGAACTACATCGGCAATGAATGTCCCTCATGTGGTCTGGCGCAACGTATTGGCAGCATCGGTTGGGCTGTCAGGCCTCCGTGAGGCCATTTGACTAGATTTATGGTAACAAAGAGAGCTGGTTGGCAAATCCTATATTGCAGCACGAAGCCGTGATCCAGAGGAGCACGAGAGAACTCGAAAAAAAGGCTCGTTGGGAACGTCGATCGGCTGAAGGTAGCCGGCTGGGAGGGCAGACGGCGTTTTGCGACGCTGACAGGGCTCACAAGCGGCGACATAGCGTCGAACAGAGCGGGCAAGTCCAGGCCAAAAAACAAACCGACGTCGTACCCGATCGTATGTGCGAGAAACGCCCAAATGGCCCGTCATGGGAGCGTCATGAAGTTGATGCTGGACAGTGGAACGCAGGTGCGTTGGGATGACAGGAAGTAAGTCTGATCCGAAGGAATCAAGGTTACGGCGATATAGGATCCCGTCTTTCACCAAAAACATTCGTAGGGACGGGGTCGCGAGGCGTTGACTCCAGTTTGTCAATGATGGCTCGTAAAGAAGCATCCCGACGTTGCTCTTCGCCAGTGTTTAACAGCTGCAACACGGAAAAAACGTCCGTGATAGCGTCAGTATCGGTTGCTTCGTCAACAGGGTAGCGGGATAAACAATCCGCATCCTGATGTAATCGCCCTGTTTTGTACATTACAGAGAACGTGTACTCTTGAAGGCGTAGAGCCCAACGAGCGAGACGTCCCGTGGGGTCCTTCAGGGAGGCTAGCCAGCAGAGTGCGTGATGATCCGTGACAACACGGAATGAGCGCCCGTACAGGTATGGGCGAAACTTGGCGACTGCCCATACAAGGGCGAGGCACTCGCGCTCCGTGATGGAATAGTTGCGCTCGGCTGGAGAGAGCAGTCGACTTGCGTAGGCTATAACACGGTCGTGCCCACGTTGTTGCTGCAATAGCACAGCTCCTATGCCGTGTCCACTGGCGTCGGTGTGAACCTCGGTTGGGGCTAATGGATCAAAGTGAGCCAAGATTGGTGGCGTTGTAAGCAATGTCGTAAGTTGCGAAAACGATGACGCTTGGTCATGGCCCCAGGTAAACGAGGCGTCTTTCTTCAAGAGGTTTGCGAGTGGGCGTGCAATGGTCGCAAAGTCTTTAACAAAGCGTCTGAAATATGAGCACAACCCCACAAAACTGCGGGCATCCTTTGTGGTCTTCGGAGCGGGAAAGTTCGTGACTGCGCGAATTTTCTCTGGGTCTGGACGCACGCCTTGAGCATCGACAAGGTGACCGAGCACGGAAATTTTACGACAAGCGAAGCGGCACTTGGAGGCCTTAAGCTGGAGTCCGGCTCGACGAAAAACGTCCAGAATAGCTGACAAACGATCAAGATGCGAGTCGAATGTGGGCGAAGAGACAATAACATCGTCAAGGTAACACAAGCAGGTGGACCATTTCAGCCCTTGGAGCAATGAGTCCACCATTCTTTCAAATGTGGCTGGTGCATTGCAGAGTCCAAAGGGCATCACCTTAAACTGATAAAGACCATCAGGAGTGATGAATGTGGTCTTCTCGCGGTCCATCTCGTCAACGGCTATCTGCCAGTACCCTGATCGAAGGTCAATAGTTGAAAAATAAGTGGCGCCGTATAGGCAGTCGAGGGCGTCGTCGATGCGAGGTAAAGGATAAACGTCTTTTTTGGTAATTTTGTTAAGGTGACGGTAATCGACACAAAAGCGCCATGTTCCATCTTTCTTTTTAACAAGGACGACTGGAGAAGCCCAGGGGCTGCATGAAGGCTCGATAATGTTTTTCGCAAGCATTTTGTCGACTTCATGTTGTAATATTGCACGCTCCGACGCCGACACACGGTAGGGGCGTCGGTGAATGGGGGTTGCATGGCCAGTATTTATGCGATGGGTGACAATGGTCGTTTGGCCCAAAGAGTTGCTGGCAAAGTCGAAAATGCTACGATAGCCCTCAAGAACGTGGCAAAGCGCTGCAGCTTGCTCAGACGTGAGGTCCGATAACACCATTCTCTCGATGTCGGCGCCCCAAGAACGTGATGGAGTGGAACCACTGACTGAGCCCCAGCAATCGTCAACTCTGAAGGGCTCGACATGGTCATCTTGGTGAGCAGTAATTTTGGCCAGGGAGATACCCTGTGGCAGAACTTGGGTGGTGAGTGAAAGGTTGACCAGTGGAAGGAAGGTACGGTTTCTCTTAATCGTCAGAATCATATGCGGCACAGCAACCCCATGCGTAAGCATCACTGCAGGAATCGGGGCCACCGTGTAATCACCATCAGGTACTGGCGGCGTGGAGGATAAATCGACATATGTGACAGAGTTAGGAGGGAGGCGCGTGAAATCAATGCAGCAGAGGCTGGTTTGCGGTGGGCTGGTCGGGTCGGAAAAGAGGGGTAAATCGAGATGGAGAGAGCCAGCTGAACAGTCTATGAGGGCAGAGTGCGTGGCTAGAAAATCCATACCGAGTATGAGGTCATGAGGGCAATGTTCGATAACGGCGAAAGGAACGACAGTGCTTCTCTCCCCAATAGACACTCGCGCAGAGCACATGCCAAGAATTGCGGCAGTTCCTCCATCGGCGACTCGTACAGCTCGGTTGAGGGCGGGCGTGACAGCTTTTCTAAGTTGGCAGCGAAGGTTAGCACTCATAATGGACACATGCGCGCCAGTATCTATCAATTCACTGACACGAACATTGTCGACAGTAACGTCCAAAAGGTTCCGGTTCGTTGGTAATGTTAATCGAGGATTTCTTACGAAGGTCGTCAACGCAGCTCCACCTCCAGAAGCTGCACGGCCTAATTTTCCGGTCGGAGATGCTGCGAATAGGTCGGGGAGGCAGCACGGCGTTGTGGGGGCGACCGGGACTGCCGACGAGCAGGTGATGGTGACCGGTCG